CAGATACTTGATCCAGTATTCTGACCTTCGCAGAAAAAAATCGATTTTAGTTACTGTTGCAGATACTTGAATAACTTTCATGCAACGCGAATGTATATTTCGTTTGTGTCCGGATACTTATGGACGGTAGTGTATATTGGTGACAAACACTATATAAATAGTGTATATCTACACATGCTGATGATAAACATTGTCAGAACTTGAAGACATATCTGAACCTTGCAAAGCGACTAAAAAACCCCCAAGTAATCGCACGGAACATCGAAGTAGAAATATGGGAGAGGTATTTTCATATTTGCGAGTAGAAATGATGATGCATGCGTTGCATGGGCGCAACGAGAAAATTGTCCGCGTCAAGGATGAAAGCGTCGTGCGGGATTTCCGGCGATAGATCAAATTCGTCGGTAACGAGAATCGCCATTAAAAAAGAGGATCGGTGCGGTGGGTAACGAAGAAAAAGTGGAAGTTCGGTCCCCTCCTCTTAGCCGTGTTTGTTATAGCTCGAACGGCTGTGTTTGCTGTAAAATTCCGAACAAACTACAAGACAAACGAGGTATAGTCGGACAGCCGACGAGTGGGAGAGTGTAAAAGCCTGCTATCGTCGCATCCACCACTTTGATCCCTTTGTTTTGTTAGAGGATGAGCCGGAGGATCAGCTTGCTAACTCAAAGGACTGCTCTTTCTCCACCCTCCGCCGCTCTTTTCCCTTCTTTCCTTCAACCCTCTTCATACTCCACCCACCGCCCCTTTTCTCCGTCTACTCGCTCGCTCTAATTCTCCCGTTCCAGGAGAGATAGCCGGGACCCACGACACCCGGCCATCCTCCTCTCGACACCCTTTTCCCTTCGTAATTGTGGACACAGCGTTAGCTCGAGAGCAAACGATCGCGGACGTATAATTCCGTAGCTGGAATTGGAAAAGGAAAGGTACACCGGAAGCTAGACCACGCGCCGTGCTATCATCCACCCTTGAACTTTATCCCTGGTACGTGCGTGTGATTCCTGATGCGACACCGTTATCGATGACAACAGAGACGCGGATTTCGGGATCACCTTTAAGGCGGACGGATAAGGATGCACGCTGCGTGCTACAGAATCCTGAACAGTCGCCGACACTTATGCGAACGATCTCGAAAATTGAAATTTTCGAATTTGTATTTGCTGTGCTGTGAATCTCCTTTGAAACTTCTAATTTTTAGCAGATAGGAACTGACAAGTGTTATTTTATACTTGATAAACTTTGAAACTTGTATTAAATTAATAACAATTTTCGCTTGAATACTTTTCTATTCATTTTACATTTACACCTTTATCTAGGTGAAAATTGGTCCTTTGTTCGTGGTTACACGATAATTTCAAGTAAAATTTCTTGAAAATCTTGAAAGTTTCAAGAGATTGCTTTTAACGTAATAATTTTAAAAGCGTTAAAACTCCTGAAGGCCTGAAGTTTTAAAAATGTTGAAAGCCTTGAGAAGTTAATGATTCTTAAAAGTGGAAAAATTTCATTCTAAAACAGAACTATTTCCTAACACCCATCAAACATCAGCTAAAAATTCACCGAAAAAAATATTTATTTATGAAAGTATAGAAAGACTTTATAAATATATATATTGAATAATATTTGCTAACAACTAAATTACTAAACTTAAACTTATACTAAAAGACTTACATTAAACCTTGAGAAATTGATACGTCCGCCAATTTCTCCCCGCAAATTCATTCAGTGCCCTCTCAAAATTCATCCAACAAGCATTCGATTAGTATACCCATGCACACATCTGCATACAATTCTGGTGACCTGATCACATAAATCGATATTCAGATGATCCAGATATGGAGATGGAAGCCGAAGCGTTGAACGGGGAGGCAACCGATTCCCGAAAGATGGAAGTTCAGATCGGTGGTGCAGTGACTTTAGAGTGCGATGGTGGCTGCTGGGGACATGGTCCTGGAATGGAACCAGTTGGTGGACCTGGACGATTGAATCTTAGTCGAGTCGTTTACCAAGAAGCTGGCGAGTATCGATGCGTCGCACCTGACAGGAAAATGCAGGACAGGTGGCGTGCACAGCTGCCGTATCACATCAACGTTACCGGTAAGTGAGGATCTACTAGCAAAATTCTATCGTGTTTCAGATTATGAAGTTACAGATTATTAACTGACATTCATATCTTTTATTTTTATTTAAATTCTGTGAGGCAAAGGACACGTATGACTGTTTAGACATGAGTGTTTCATAGCAACAGAGATAATGTAGTTATAAATTTAATGATTTGCTATAATGATGAAGATGAAGACTTGAAAATGAGGTCTCTTACTATTCTGTTTGTTATAAAATAAATAAAATGGCACTGGTTTGAATTATTTTTCGTTTATATAATATCAATATTTATTCGAATAAAAGCAATATTAAAAATATTAAAAATGTTATCTTTCTTCAAAATTAAACTCCACTAGATTTCTGCAGGGAATGTTACATTAAATAATAGATGGTAACAAACGAAACGATACAGGTACAAATTGCGGAAGCGATAAAAGTAATGGCTCATTAAATTTCAAGAATCTTGTAATATAGCCAATATCAAGTAACCTCGTTCGCCGCTAACTCGTAGCTTATCATCATCACTCACTATCACGAAATCGGCTCTCTTCTCAAACCGTTCGACTGGAATTATCCAATTTTCTACTATAATTGCTCGCGTGCGCCCTACGACGAGCTTCTAATTCCAAGACTTATGAACACACTTTAGATAAATTACGTTTGATCCCGACCACTAATTTCAACGATCATTTTCTTACCATTCGCTTTAATAAATTTCTACAGTATTTCTGAAGAATCATTTAATTTCCTTAACGTTTGAACGACTTTGCTTTTTGAGGTTATGTATCACCCTTTGAGGTTAGGTTGAATTAAATATGGTTGCAGTACAGACAATAATTAAATTAAATTCTTATGCAATATATAAGAAATATAAAATATACTTCTCATGCAATATAATAATAATTATACTTACTGTTCTGACAATAATAGTACAATAAAAAATTTTAACAAACATCATAATTGCAATAATCATAAATAATTCATTTTGTTGTATGAATAAGTCTTCCCAAATATTTCGCAAGAAGTAAACAACAATTTGTGTCTTGTTTAATCTAACTCAGGTCACGAAGAGTTAAATATTACCCCGTGTTAACAATCGTGCCATGATCTCTTCAAAATTGTCCGCACTCATTAAGCTTCTTTTCACCGGTGGCGTTTTTTGCATCTTTTAAAGCTAGCCGTACACACGAGATCTGTAGGATTAGAACTTTTTGCCGTGCATATTCTGTTTCTACCATTTTTTTTCCTTGTAACGTTATTATCGTCTTTCACGATGCTGCAGCTCTGTTTCGCTTCGCCTCTCTTTTTCTACAATGCATCACGTGCAACGCGAAAAAAAATGTATTCTTTCTCTGGCGCACAATGCGCCGGCGAGTTTGTTGTTCCGCGAGCACATCATTACGTTGGCTATTGAGCGAATTTCGAACGTTGCCGGAACAGCTCGTGACATCTATCAGTGCGACGTTAAATAAAAGGAACATCCGGGAAAATTGTTCGTGAGGGACAAATTAATTAAAGGCGTATTGTTGCTGACGGCTGTTTAATCGCTATAGCTTCCTCTCTTCGTATGAAGGGTTAAATGAAAACTGATATTTTTGGTCAAAATTTATTCGTTACAGTTCTTATGGGTCATAGTAAATTTTTATATTTTCTCAATTTTTATTTAATTTAAATTTATGGAAACTTTGAAATCGTGTTTACTATGACCCACAAGAATTTTAACGAATTAATTTTGATCAAACATATCAAAGTTCTCATTCAACCCTTCATACGAAGAAAGGAGGCTCAATTTTTATTTAATTTCAATTTATGAAAATTTTGGTCATTGAATTATTAAATTATAACTCATGAATCTTTAGATCATCAAGTTATTAAATTTCTGAATTTTGAAGTCGAGTAGCTAAATAGTTTTCAAGTTACCATTTGATTTTGCGAGTTGGAAATTTAAAAATTATGAAAGAAATAGGAGGAGCGTAATTTATTTTTAAACTAGGAAATTTAAATTGATTATCGATTAATAATACATAATCGGTGAATTGGAGTTTTTGACCGCGATAATATATTGCACACAGAAGACCTGCTGTAACAATCAGACGGTAGAAAGCCAATAATTGAAATATGGGCGGTAGTTAGATAAGTCGTGTAGAACCGAGGGATAGTTAAACTAGTAGAACAGGAAACGTAGGTAGTCAATCAAGTGAAATAGGGTCGGTAAGTAATCAGACAATTAACATACGATCGATAGATAGTCAGATAATAGGGATTGTTGGTACTCAATCAAGTAGTATACCCAGTAGGTGGTCAGACAAGTGGAATATAGCACGTAGATGGCCATCCAACTGAAATAAGATGCTATAGACAATGCAAATATCCTTTTTAATCCACTTTTATACTTTCTAGACAATAACTCTTAAATACTTTCAAATTTTTAGTCACTCAGATATTTTTACTTTCAATCTCTCTGTCAAAAAACCACATAAACAAAAATTAATTTTCTGAAAATTGTTTGTGATGTTTCTAAGAACCTCAACACTATTACTTATTACTCATAACTTCTTAGCTATTTTTTTTTAAATAATACTCCTTACTATATAAAAGTGACATCAACAATTCGAGCAAAATTCTCTAGGGCCACAATTACCAGTTACCCTAGCAAGATTCCTCTAATTAACTAGCACGAGGGTATAGCAATCAGAAACATCGGCGGGATGTCGAGAATGTTTGGTTAGAGGAAGATATCCATTAGCAGAAGCTGCTTTCCACTCTCCCCGCTGTTCTGGGATCGCGAGTTACGGCACACAAACTTATGATAGTCAATTCCATTAGCGTACGATTTAGTTTTGAATCGGATTCTAATACCCGCAGTTTCCGCAAGTCGATGGACATTGGTGCTCATAATCTGTCAGCATGACGGATCCGTTCTCGGCGGACCTACTTCGAATGTTAGCACAAGGCTGTTTAACTTCCTTACCTTCGACCCTTCTTATAATACTTTCATTCCAGTCGCTTCGTTTTTGAAATTAATTAATGAGAAAGGTTTTCAAGGAAGATTTAACTGAACAGCTACTAAATTCATACATATTCAGCAAGATACAAAGATTTTGTATTTGGCAAGATACAAAGATTTTGTATCTGGCAAGATACAAAATAATTGCATTGTTATGTGGTTACAGAAACCACATAAGATATCTTATGGAATGAACCCTTAGCTCAAGAGTACTTGCATGAACAGTACATCTTCAGATATTTTACTCGAAAACATGCTACAAATTTGAAAACTCGAAAAGTCGTTAAAAAGGAGGAAATATAAACACCTTCCACAACCAGTTTATAATCCCCCATCCCCCACGGCGTAGAATAAAATCCCATATTCGAATAAAGCGAACTCTTAGCACCGCACTCCATGGCGGAAATAAAAAGCGAATAAATGCGGCAGCCATGAAAGCGCCGTCAGGTATAGCGCAGAAGTGGAATGCAACGGAAACGGGCGTAACATACTGGAGTTAAAATCATGAGACTATCGCGAGCTTCTCAATTTCTAAGACGTATCCCAGAACGGGAGATCGCGACCGGAACGAGGTTGGATCACTTCGATAGGTCGTGGAACGCCACGTACGAAGCAGGCTTTACGAGACACCAATTCCCATTCCGCGTCATAAACTTGTTTTCTGCACCCTCGCCGAGGGAAGCCTCGTACACATTCCTCGCGTTTATATACATAACCACGTGTACGTTCGAGATCAAACAGAAGTCCCGCAATGACGAAGACCCTCTATGTTCCCCTCGATTCGACTTTTCCTCGTCACCCTCTGTGTCGATTTATAGAAGTCGAACATTTGCCTGTATCGTTGGAAAATGTCTTCGTGGATGGGGAACGCGAATTGGTCGAATTTTGTGAGGTTCGAAGAATAGCGAAGGCAGGTTCGTATGTTATTGTCACATGCTGGGTTCGGTTCGATGATGATTTTGGCGCGCTTTTTGAATAGGCAGATCATAGATCAGATCATGAAATCTTATGTATTTTCTATAGGACGAATGAAACAATTATTTTGATCGCTAAATGTCTAAATGTCATAGATATTTTTAGTTCGTCATGACAATATTTAATTATACATGTAACTATTATATGTAAATACGTTGTCATTACAGATATTTTTATTTTATCATACATATGTTGTCAGTATTGATATTTTTTCGTCACGGACATTTTTGTCATTACAGGTATTTTTGTATGGTTATAAATATGTTAGTATATTTTTGTTCAGTTGTAGATATGTTGTCATTATACATATTTTTGTTTCGTTACATGCATACATATGAACATATGTATTTCTGTATGATCACATATACGTTATCATCACATATGTCTGTTTCTTTTTACACATTTCCTTATATTAAGATTATAAATATTTTTGTTGGTTATAAATACGGTTGGTTATAAATATACCTTCATCATAACGTCCAAACATAACCTCAATATATTCGATTAACCATAAATATAAAAAATGGCAGACTTCTGAAATGGCCTAATATCTTCTGTTAAAGGTACCTCTGTCACAAGTATGTCTATTAAAGATAAGTCGACGAGGGAGTACCATAAAAGGCTCCAATGTAATATCTTTCCGCAGTGTAATGTGTACGGGAAGAAATTATTTTCTACCTTTTCATTTCACAGTAATACCTTCCACTAAAGATATATCTTTCTATCAAAAATATAGATAGAAACCTATGAATAATAGACGCCAGGGGCACCGGAACCCAGGACTCCTCCAATCGTAGCTGGTTATCTGATCCTCTACGTCATCACCTTTGTCATCCCTACGTCCCTTTATTAGGTCTGAGATCCCACGTTTATACCGTACGAAATTTACTGCTTTCTAGAAAAACTACTTGTATGCAAATTTATAAGGTAATTTAGAGAAAGTGTTTCTCAAGTGCAGTAAAATATTATGAATACCAAGTCTGAAATCATTGAAATCAACTTCCATTTTTTT